GGTCCGTCCACGTTCCTCCTTGACGGTCCCGGGCAGGGTCTTATTGGACGATGGCACGCTGAGAAGAAGGTCACGGCAGGGATCGACATTCCTCAACATCGCATGTCCAGTACGGAGTATTGCAGGCTGCGCTGCGAGCTGTCGCATCCCAAGTTCAAGGCCTAGCGGCTTGGTGATCATCTCGCATGTGTGTGATATTGCATGAAGGCGTGAATCACTGGGGGCTGATTGCTCTTGGAGGTCGTGGTAAGTGGCTGGACAATGCCGGATGGGGTTTCGCGCGCTCATCTTATCACTGCCCATGAACCTTCTCGCTTTGCTGATGAAGGAGGAGCCTGTTCTTCCCTCGTGTTGGCCAGCTTGAAGGCTTCCTTTTGCGCAATGAGTAGCCACTGGCCAGGCTTCTTGTCGGTCGCCTACGGACGAAGCGGACCATGTGATCTTCGCTGGGGTTCTGGCGCCACAAGACATCCTACAAAAACAAAAATACGCCTGAAGAGGGTAAGAAAAAGCAAGGACGAGAATCAAGCATTCCCCGCTTTCAATATACCGAAATTTTGTCGCGAAGCGGCGAAGCCTACCTGAAAGTTCGTCTGCAAGTTGGCAAACCTGCTTTGGCAATAAGGCGCGTCGTTGCCTTCCGATTACATTGTCCTTGATCAGCCACCGCCAGCGACCAGTGACTGAGCATTCCCAAGTCGCTCAATCCTAAGCGGAGGCGCCAGCCGGCAGATCCGGTCCACGATATCGATAACATTCATTGTCATTGAGTCCCTGCTCATGGAGAGTCGGGAGTTCTGTGGACACGCTCGATTGTATGTCGGGATGACTTGGAGTAAAGTCATTGGCTAGAAGTATATTGCGCGGCCGGCTAAGTCGCTGACCGCCTCAGAGTTGCTTCTTCGCAAGAGAGGTCAACAGGACTTGCTCCTCAACGAAGGCACCTGCCGGCAACCTTTTGCTGAGACACTTGGGGCAAAGTAGTCCGATCGTGCAGTCGCTCGCCGCTGTGTAATATCGATGTGGCCGGCAGAGATTCGTACGCAGGCAGGCAGGGTAGGTATGTCCAAGGATTGTGAGAGGGTCGATGCTTATCCACCTACAAGATGTTGTGACACTTGTGCTGGCGAGAAGTGCCACACCGCCTCCTGCTATGATCAGTCTGGCACATAATATGTTCATCGTCTCCGAGGTTTGGTGGTGAACGCGGGGGCTCTTGCAGTACGGCGACGGCTAGCTGCGTTTGTACAAGGTCAACCAAGAATCGGGACTTTGTCGCTGACTTGTAAATGCGTATGTTGTCGATTCTGTATGAACTTGGTTCAAGACCAGACCTGATCACTTGCCTCTGGACTTGGTCGAGTCGAGGTCTTGTGTGTCGTGGTCTTGTGTGTCGTGATCACAGTACTGGAGATGCCTGCCAATCGAACCTTTGCCTAGCACCTGGTGCCCAATCTTCAGACATCTGCTGTGCTTCGCGAACTTTCTGGACAAACGCGGCCGGCGAGTTCACTGGATTGAGGCCGGCAGCGATGGCAGGCGATCTTTGCTAGCCAAGCTGGGATGTGCAGACTGTCCTTGGTACTCGGGCAGGCTGTGTTTTGCTTCACCGCCCATTGAGGTAGGCTGCTTCGGTGTTGTTGCATACACCGTATCCTGAGACCAAGGCAGAACAGCTGGGCGAGGCATGGCCGAAGTGGTCCATTTGCGCAGAATCACCGCCTGTCAGACTGCTTCGGTGTCGTTGCATATATCGTATCCGCAAGATAAAGCTGCCTGATATGATATGGCCGTCGCCGCTACCTTTACGCAAGAGCACCGCGGGCGAACCGCCTCATGTGCTGGGATCCGTACTGAGCGAATATTAGCAAACTTCGTTATAATTCTGAGCCAATTTGACTGCTCTAGGAGACTCAAGACGTCGTTGCGCATTCGTGCCTGCATGGGCACCTCACCAAGGGGCATCTCAGCAGAAGACGCCTGATTGCGAGATTGCCCATGGTGTTGTTGTCTTCAGTCAAGCTGCGGCTGTGGTCGAAAAGAGCTCAAGTTTGCCGTGAAGAGGCTACGATGGAACGCATGTACGTGTCAAAATTGAGCAGAACTGGGTCAAGGACGATGGGCAGTGACATGGGTCGTGCCTCGGAACGGTGCCCCCTATGTGCGTTTATGTTCCCGGATCGAATACCTTCTCCGCATCGATGGTCAGCTATGCGAGCCATCATATGTTGACCATCCCACTTGAGCGACTTGTCAACATGATATCAAGACGAATAGTGAAGATAGTAGGAGTGACCAGGCGAGCAGAGGCGTGAATCGTCTCTATGTGGCGCCGTGATGGATCGGGGCGGACTGCGCCACAGAAGAGCGCCACATGCAGCTCGGACCACATCCTCGGTATGTTCGGTATCGAGCTGTCAATGTTGCATTGGACGAGGAGGGGCAGGGGCTGAGGGATAAGAGGTGGTCGCTGCATTGAACAATGCAACGGTGCTTCATAACAAACGAGATGAAAAAAAAAAAACTCGTTTGTCTCCAAGGGGCAACAGCAATTCCAGGAAATCTCGTAGACGGTCCCGAAAGGGATGATCTGCGACAACAGGAGCCGGCAGGCGGAGTCGGACGAAAAGGCTATGCTTAGATCGCGACGGGCCGGGCAGGATTTTGGATTATGTATGTACGAGTCTCGCAGGCGCCGCCGCGGTAGGCGTGGAAGACTGAAAGAGTCCATTCACGAGCTCGTAATCTCGTGTGTAGGGCAACGGAGCCATCGTGGGCCACGAGGCTCCCGCTTTGCCAGAGATGATGGTGCGGGTCTCGGGCCCCACTGGCATGGAGTGACCAGGTGGCTGCTGGAGCTCCGACGCTATTTCTGGCATCGGGAGGTTGCCGCCGCCAAAAAGGTGGGAGACTGCGGAATGAGTTAGTGAAGTCTTTCTAGAATTGGGAGAGAGTCAGGCTGTCAGCAAGCAGCAAACCTGATTTGACATGTTAAATGATTGCATTCGTGGGGCCCCGGGAGAGGCCAAGACCGCATTGGGACGGACAACTTTGTCAGTCCGACAGTCGACGACGGTACGGATACCCGGAGACATTTAGACTGGGCAGAAGAGGGATCAAGCTGACAGCTTTTTTGCTCGCTCGGTGAGTGGTTGTGTTTGTGATGGGAGACAGATAGCCGTAGGCGCCGGTGTGTTATAGCTCGGCGTGATGATATCAAGAGGAGGGCGGCAGAGGAGGAAGCGGACTGGACGGGAGGTAAGAAAGGAAAATAGATTTGAGAAGCAATAGTCTGGTCGGGCGAATCCGAGAGCATTCAGAGTTCATGTTCTCGACGGGCGTTGCATTGTTATTCTCAAAGTTGCCATTTGTTTGTTGCCTTGAAGGCTGGTACCTGGCCGGGTATTGCTGACGAAGGACGCACCTTCCTTCTCGAAATGGATGTCACCACGACGCTAACCGCGTGTTCTATCCAATGGACCCACTTGCACAAGGCCACAGTGGATGCTGATTTGCGAGTCCAGATTGCACAGGAAAAGGGGAGTCCCAGCTTGTCGTCACAGCCGCCCAGGTTCGGAGGAGCAAAGGCAAGAAGGCTTGCGGAGTACTTCGTAGAGAGGGCAAGAGCCAGACTTGGGTCAGGGGGTTAGGTAGCCGGCAGAATCCAGGAACAGGAGCAGGAGCTCTCGCTCGTTCCTGGCTGCTGCTCCTGCACACGAGCTCACGGACCACAAGCCCCTGCAGGGGGTCGATGAGCTTAGTTGGGAAACGACCAACGGCCGCCCAATAATCGACGCCGTTTCAAGGCGGCTCCCGGCGCCGCCCCGCTACTTCCAGACACATGACGACCTCATTGGCCAATGGCGGAAATTGCAACAGACCGTTGACGAATCGTGCGTGCCTGTCAGATGGGCTCAATCTTGGGGCGTTGCTTCCCATGTTCCCAAATCAGTCAAGTTGCTCCATGGGCTGTGCTTGCCAGAATGGAGAATTGGCCCGGTCCAGATCCACTACGCCAGTGGAATTATGGAACTATGGGATCCATAGAAGGGAAGGTGGGAGGACCGTTTGCTGTCGTCCGATGCTGCCATCTTCTCCTCTTTTTCACTCCTGCTTATACCTAGCCACCTAGCACGCTTAGTTTTTTCTCGCTTCTTTTCAAGGCGGTAAGCAGCTCTCTTACCTCCTATTGTGTACTCCGTAAGTTATGAGCCTTTAAGTCCAGTACGGATAAGAAGGTAAGGTACGTACTACCTGGCTGGAGCTTCTCTCGACTCTCTCTCAACCCGGTCTGGCTCGGTCTTGATCCCTGCCGCCTTGCCAATAGGCTGGGGCTCTAAGAAAGGATTCAATCTGTGATCACGAACCGCCCCATGCAATGATGAATGATGCCGCCCTTTTCTGTGCGCTTATGCTGTGCCTTCGATGCAAAGATCCTTGGATGCCTGGCCAGGAACGGCATGGCTCCATCGCGTCTTCCTCCCAGGCGTCCAATGCCGCCCACACTGGGCAGTAGCCACTTACCCGCTGCCCAGTCCTAATGCAAGCCTGCACACCTAATGTACACACACCATGCAGGTACACTACGCACACCGCAGACTCTCTCTCCTCTCTGGCTCCTCGGCGCTACCCCTGTCTCTCCATTTTCCAGGACATATCCTTCCTCGTTCCCTTCTATCTCGACTTCTTCTCCTCCTCCCTTCCCTCCCCTTCTTCTTCAACAACTTTGTTCAAATCGTCGTTGTCCTTGCTGTACGTTGCAGGACCGTTTGTTGTCACTCGCTCTCTATTAGCACTCTCCTTCCAGTCACTCTCTAATACTATCCCCCTTGGAATTCCCGCTTGCATTCACTAAGCAGTTTTCCGTCCTATCGTTAATAACCAACCCGCTCTCTACGTACCATCACGACTACACCGAAAAAAACATCATCCAATCCCCAAACCCCAAATCCAAAAATACCCTCGACACACCGAGAGACAAGTGCATTGTTTAACGACTTTCGCGACGGCCTGCCACAGAGAAAAGACTTAATCCCTTACGTATGTGCCACTTCTTTTCTCGGAGGCGAGGCAAATCCGCCCTGCTGGGATATTCAAGGAGCTGTCTGTTGGCCGGTGAGAAGAGGGAGACCTGGAATGGATCTGGGTCCCCTTTGTGTGTTCACCAGACAATGCTCCAGAATGTCTCACCAGATGTCGGACCCTCAAACAACAACCCCCTTTCGCGATGCTAACAATCGTCTGTATAGTCGTCCGCTCTTTAATAATACTACCGAATACCGCTCCCTTCTTCGAATCTCACCAAAGAAAGGGATATTTGCAGTAATAATCAGACCCGCTCACGACCAACACAATGCCTTCCATCCAGCACCTCATCTCCCGCAACGCCCCTGGCGTTGTCACCCGCGACGTCGATGGCGGCGACACTCTCAACCTCATGATTGTCGTCCTCGCGTTGATCTTCTTCGCCCTCCTCCTCGTCTCCACACTCTTCCTCATGCGCCGCATGCGCAGACAACAACGCCAACAGATGCTTCCCGCCTATCAAGAAGTCAAGGGTGGCGCCAGAAATCACCACAACCTCACCATCCAGACAAGTCAAGATGGCCGCTCAAGCGTCCTCTACATCGGCCAGGACGGACGCTCGCCGATGCTCCAGAACCCCCAGTCCGCTCCCCACTCTCCCGACAACGTCCCCGAGATCCACATCACCTTCCCCGACGAGCAGGATGAGGGCGGCCGCCGCAAGAGTGGCCGTGTCCTCGTCGTCCGCGTTGGCGACGGCGGCTCCGTCGGCCTCGAGCCTGTTCGCGACGAGCAGCTCCCGGCGTACGAGAAGGACAGCAAGTCGCAGTTTTACTCTGTCGATATCGACTCAATCGGCGGCCTGCGTGAGAAGGAGCGCTTCAACTAAGCAACCAAAACCAAAACTATCAAGTGTCCAACTTTTGCCCGGACAAATTTCTTCTGTACAGATCGGTCCCCGCTGTACAAACCACTCAGCATTTTTTCTCAACATGGCATGGCGTTCGACGACACACACTTTTATACCCTGCGCACCGGGATGACTTTCTGCCCGATGCATGGTCCACACACACGGGGAACCTACCGCCGTCTGTGAAGTTACCGCGCATCGGCATTGGGAAATGGCTCGGGGCGCAACTCTTACGTATATAAACTTAACGACTACCCCCCGGGAAGCCTGTCTCGCGGTGTGAACGAAACCAGGAATCACCGTGTGGTGAAGGCGAATGCCGGGTTGTAGAATATTTGTATATTCTAATGCTGTATAATTTCCTTCTGTCCTCTAAACAATTCAAAGCAAATGATGACCATGGCTTCTCGCATACGCCCGTGCTACCCCGAGTCTGTCGATCCTGTGAGACCGTGTGCCGCCCCTACGTTACAGCCACCCCGCATTGGCAATGTTTGCCCGGAGCTCCGACGTCAATGTTTATTATCATTGGGCTAGTAGCCGCCCCTGCGGCACGGTACCTCGAAATGCGGCAGGCTGCAGAGAAACGACTTTGATCGGCGAAATGGTTTGTTTCGTATTTCATGTCAAAGAAGAAACGTCTGGGCCATGGATCGACAAGCGATGATCATCTATCAAAATCCCCGACTCATGCTCCAAAAAATGGACACGGGAACTGGGCCCGGTCCTGGCTCACATCTGGCACGGCTGGGTACGAAGTACGGACCACCAAAAGATTGTCTCCACTCATCGCCGGATCTCGCCGGGTAATCGCAGCGGTTGTCGGCTGTGCTACGGACGACGCACATCGCCGTGTCGAACCTCATCTGACCAGTGAGGGTTTGCCGTTTGGGATAATGAGTGGGTTACTATGGTCTTCATATGGAGGGTAGGATGAAGAGTCTTCGGTTTTGATGTTGTGTATATCTAGGAGGGACTTTCCTGTTCTTGTCTTGTGTCTTCGAGCCATTTGACAAACATCAAGCCGCAGGGTGAAGTTGTCCATCAGACAGATCATCTCTCACGATGGCGCCCTCCTCAGAGATTCCCCCTCCGTATGAACAGCCTGCGAAGCCCAGCGGGCTTAAGGTGGACAAGCCCAACTTTATCATCTTCATGCCAGATCAGCTTCGCTACGACTCACTCGGCTGCAATGGAAACAAGGTAAACTTGCCTACCCTCAAATAAACTCACCATCCTCATATCACTAACATCCAAGAACAGACCGTAAAAACGCCCAACATTGACAGCTTCGCAGCCGAAGGCACCCGCTTCACAAACTGCTTCGTCCAAGCCTCCGTCTGCACACAATCCCGCTGCAGCATGTTCACAGGAAACTACCCGCACGTCACAGGCCACCGCTCGCTCGAAAACCTCATCAAGCCGTGGGAACCCAACCTCTTCCGGTCCCTCAAGGAGCGGGGGGGTTACCACGTCGCGTGCCTCGCGCCTAGGGGCGATACCTTTGCGCCGACGGTGACGGAGCTGTCGCTCGACGAGTACGGGTTCCTCGAGACGCCCGAGTTCGTGCCGAGGTTTGCGGGTGGTGGGAGGGCGGAGCCGGACGATAAAGAAGATATTTGGAAGAGGTTGTTTTATAAGGGGTTGAGGAACAATGAGGAGGCGATGGATTATGATGATGCTGTTGTGAGGGGGGCGTTGAAGTGGTTGGAGTGTCCGCCGACGGATACGCCTTGGGTGTTGTTTATGCCGCTTATTTTCCCGCATTGTCCTTTTCAGGTAGAGGAGCCGTATTTTTCGATGTATGATCGTGGGGAGATGGGTGTGCCTACGAGGCCGGAGGACAAGGTGAGCCACCTCCTGCTGCTATACACTGCTACGAGGAACGATTTCAGCTAACGGACCATATCAGACCGGCTACGAGCCACGCTATATGCAGCTCAACCGCGAGCGGTACGGCACCCACCGCGCGACGCCCGAGATCTGGGCCGAGGTGATGGCGACGTACTACGGCATGATCTCCCGTCTCGACGACCAATTCGGGCGCGTCGTGGAAAAGACAAAGGCACTGGGCCACTGGGACTCAACGGTGACGCTGTTTTTCACAGACCACGGGGAGTACCTCGGCGACCACGGCATGATTGAAAAGTGGCCTTCAGGCCTCTCGGACTCGCTGACCCACGAGCCGCTCCTCGTCGGCGGCTGCGGGCTGCCGCGGGGCGTGGTGTACGATGAGATGGCGGAGATGGTGGACCTGGTCCCGACGGTACTGCAGTTCGCCGGAGTCGGTGAGCATTTCCCCCACTGCGGTGTCTCGCTCGCGGACGTGTTAACCTACGCCGGAACGGACGCCGAGACGGGGGCCACGAAAGCCCACAAGGAGTTTGCGTTTACGGAAGGCGGGTTCCTGACGAGCGAGGAGCCGTTGTTGGAACAGGCGCCGTATCCGTACGATATCAAGGCGGCGCTGCAGCACGAGGATACGACGATTGTGGGCAAGAGCGTGTCGTGCCGGGATAAGAAGTGGACGTTTGTGTATCGGCTGTACGAGCCGGCGGAGTTATATAATCGGAATGGGGATCCCGGGGAGCTGCATAATTTGGCCGAGGTGGCGGAGTATCAGGAGGTGAGGAGGCGGATGGAAGGGGTTGTGTTAAGGTGGATGGTGGCGAGTAGTGATTTCTTGCCGTGGCAGAAGGATCCGAGGTTTCCTGCTGTGGAGATGGAGAGTGTTGCGGATCAGTTTAGGAGACGGGGTGGGCACTTGGAGAAGGATGTTAAGGGTTGATTGCTTGTAAGGTAGAATTGGCTATTGAGGCTATTGATATTGAACTGCCGAACGAAGCGATTCCGCATATTCCGGTGCTCCGGATGCGATCTCCACTTATCACCGGGCTCGCTTTCGGAAGTGGGTCACGGTAGCCCCCGGCGCCGGAGACTTTTATGGTTGGGTTCCGGTTTCTCGTTTCGGCTCGACCCTTTTTCCCAAACGCGACACTTCAACACGCAAGACCCAAAACATCGGCCTCACGGGGACCCGAAGGCTGGGACTCGGGAGGTCTGGATTCTTCACTTTGCTCCACCATATAAGGTCGTCGACGCCCCCTCTTCCGTCACGCTCGTCTGGCGTGTAGCTGAGATGTGATTTGCATTCTTCGCGCTGTGAGGTGCCGTCTTATCCAGCAGGCTGCCCATGCTGTCCTGTGCGGTTCGGGACCTGTGCTGTGTGTTATGTTTTAGCCGCCACAATGGGCGCAGGTGGCTCCCGCGTCGTCGCAAGTTTCCTCGACATGTGCGGTAGCATCTATTCTGAGCTACGACTCTGTACCGGCAGGCAATCTTGGTCATCAGTCCATTTGTTCCGTCTGCACATGTCCCCAGCAGGGCAGCAGGGCAGCAGTCACAGAACGTGAACAGCGTTCCCGCTCCACGGGCTCAAGGCAAGTCAATCCTGACGACAATTCACCAAAAGGCAATGACTGGAAGGTGGCCGCGGCCCACCACCACCATCCTGCAAGCGCACCTAAATTTTAACTTTATTCCACTTCCTTGGCCAACTCTGTTAGTATCCCCTTCTCCTCTGGTGCCTGATATTCTCCCACAGAATCGGTTTGGAAACACTCCACAACCGCCATGCAAGAAGGTAGTTTGCTGGGTACCCTACCGTCAACTTACCAAGGGGTTCATACCTATTACCTACGGAAGCAGGCTAGTACTTGTCAATGTTGCCGTGTTGGTGGTACAGGCCAAGGCTCTCCCGCTGATCGGCGTTGTGTCAGTTGTTTTGTCTGACCTCCAAACCCGGTGCCCCCATTCCGTTTTGTCTGCAACGCCACCCCTTTTTCCCGCACCCACCCATTTGCTCCGCACTCGTGACTCTTGACTGGGGGGGGCCGCAACTCGAGAACTCAACTCCAGCGCCCTGCAACACATCTGACACGAGCGCACAACCCCCTTGAACGCTCATCAACGAGGATCTTGACACAAGAAACAATCGTAGCACTGCAACCCAGCGCCAATTCCTTGCCGTCCCTCCCCATCCCCCCCCTTTTTACTCAGATCCTACCTTAGCAGCAACATCAATCATCAAACAACGCCAATGTCCAATTGGGTCGCGGGAAGGGGCTACAGGGGGCCGTCTTCCTTCGCACCATGAGTCGCTTAACCCTTCCTCGTTACAAGACAACCTTACTAAAGTTACCGAGGGTTACATTCGTTAAAAGTCTTGTTTCTCTCCATCCTGGGGTTCGCCCATGCGTCCACGACTCCACGGTCCAATACTCCATGGATGAGAGAGAGGATCAGGGGGGGGGAAAAGGTGTCAGACGGAACCCGTGGACAGCTTCAACGGCAACTCAGAGTTCCAACGCAATCGACCATTCACACAAACATCCAGGACCTAAAGACAGGGATCCGGGCTCCAAGAAGCTCGCGGACCTTGTCACGTCTTTTCTCCCGCAAGCCCCCATCACCATCTGTTCTATCATCTGCGTGTGAGAGTGTACATCCATCCCCCTCCCATGCTCCAATCCTGTTGCTCCCCCGCGAGCATCCCAAACGCTGGTCCAGCCAGCGCCGAGAGCTCGAACCCCGTCCCGCGCATGCATGCATTTCCAGAGAAGAGTCGAAGCGCCCAGGGTTTGCTTTTGAAGCTTGCTCACGTTGTTTTGCTTATTGCGTGCCATGCACTTGCTGTGCTGCGTTTGCAGCTGCGGATACTTGATATCTATTCGTCCCACTTTCAATCATTCGAGCTGTGCCGGGAGTCCGATTATCTTAAGATCAATGGGACGAAAGTGAAAAGCGGTGTTCCAATTCTTCCTCTTCTTTTCCCATTCTTCTCCTTTGTTTTTTTTCCCCTTCTGCTGTTCATCCTTTTTTGCTACCCTCTTCACTTCTATTCGCGCGTTGTGTAGATCACGGCCCGAAGAAGAAAAAAACCCCTCCTTTTTAATACACACATCTCCCATCAACCATGAAGCCCTCACTTTTGTTCCTGGGCGCAGGTCCCGCCCTCGCGTTCCGCGAATCCAAGGTCATCTCCTCGAGCTCCGGCGAGATCTGCATCTCCTCCCAGCTCCTCGCTGCCTCCTCCAACAACGGGCCCATCTGCCGCAACAAGGAAGACCTCCTCGGCGGCCGCGCCGACCAGTTCCCCTTCACGGCGGGCACCTCCTCCGCCTCAGCCTCCTCATCAGATTCAGTATGGACGCACACGTCTCCGTGCTTCAAAAACGGCACAGAGTCCCCCGAATTCTGCATCTACCACGCGGGCAACTACGGCGGCAAAGGCATCTCCATCATCACCGACGCCGACCGCGCCGCCCACATCACCCGCAGCTGGGGCTTCACCAAGCCCGAGGAGCTCGACGGCACGAACCAGCCGCTGCCCAAGTTCGAGGTGGCCAAGGTGCCCGGCAAGGACTACGGTCTGGTCGCCTCGCTGCCCATCAAGCGCGGCGAGATCATCCTGCGCGAGACGGCGAGCTTGTTGATTGATTATGCGGCGTTTAGCCATATCCCGCCGGACGAGATGAAGAAGATGCAGGCGCACGCTGTGGATTTCCTGCAGTTTAAGCACCGTAGTCAGTGGCTCAACATGTCGAGCCACGGGTACCACGGCGATCACCTGTCCATGGTGGACAAGATTCTCGTGACGAACTCGTTTGATGTCGAGATGGATGATGCGAAGCGCGACGATGACTTTTACGCCGTCTTTGTGAACAGTAAGCCCCCCCCTTCCCCTTTTACCCTCTCTCTTGGTTCTTGTACCTGCATCAGAACCCCGGCTAACACGGCATCTCAGCATCCCGCATGAACCACGACTGCCGCCCCAACGTAGACTACTGGTTCGACCCGCGCACCCTCACCCAACGCACCGTCGCCATCCGCGACATCATCCCGGGCGAGGAACTCACCCTCTCCTACATCGACCCCATGCAAACTCGCGCCGCCCGCCGCGAGCGCCTGCACTCCACCTGGGGCTTCCACTGCTCCTGCCACCACTGCATGCAACACCGCCTCAAGACGGACGAGTCGGACCGCCGCGTCGAGCAGATTATCTCGTTGCGCGAGGAGTTCAACGACTACACGCCCGCATCGCGGGCGACGCCGCAGATGGCCGAGTTGTTGATCTCGCTGTATGAGCAGGAGCATAACTGGAGTCTGTTGACGGAGGCGTATACTCTTGCCGCGATTGAGTACAACGGTATCGGGGAGCCGTGGTTGGCGACAAAGTATGCGCGGATGGCGGTCGAGTATGGGCTTACTACGCTGTGGGAGGGCCATGGGGACGTGATTGAGATGACGAAGCTTGCGGAGGATCCGTGGAGCCATTGGAGCTGGATGTTGAGGACGCGCAAGAGGTATAGCTGGGGACCTGGGCCCAAGATTGAATTGGACTTGGATGATGATGATGATGAGTGAGAAGGGGGGTTTATTTCTGCCCTCACTGTAGATGGTGTACGTATGAGATGATTACATCTGGTTCATGGGATTTTGGGAATGGCGTCTGGGATATGGCATAGGGGATTGGAAGAACTACTCTTTTTAGCATCAAAAAGATGAAATCAAATGATATCAAACTACTTCATATTGTCCATGAGATGGTGAATGAGAACTGCTGTCTACTGAGTGAGTGTGGACTCTCTGTGAGCATGTGAAGCCATCTTGGCTCATTCATCCCGTGAGAAGACTCACTACAAATCTACCATCTGATTCCGAGACTCAAATTGCACTCAACCAATCAACGCTACCATGACTAACAGGAACTCTTACAAGCAATGGATGTCATGCAAGTTGATCCAGCCACCGAGGCGGTGCCAGCACTGGGCTACTGCTGGTCACAGCATGTGTAGCAGAACCATCTCATCCTGAATCATGACACAAAGCCGGAGAAACCCATCACGAAAACGAAGTTAAAAAAAAAAGAGACCAAGTGTTTGAATCGTGCATCGCTTGTCCAACATATCTACCAAATGTCATGTCGCTCTGGTATAGCCTCTCCATCGCCCCGCTGAGGCCTCGTCCTGGTTGCGTCTACTAATACTATCCGCTTGCCCCCTTCCCTTTGCCGTGCCCCCCGAATTATGCTTGACGCCGTGAAGAGCGGTTCCGGACCCTGGGTATCATGAACCAAGTGTAATGAGAGGAGTACCAAAGGAGAAACGTCAAACGCCATGAAAACTCCGTCCAGAGAATACATACAAGAGAATGGGGGTACTGCTAACCCTCGAATCCGAGAAACAAAAGATTCTCAAAAAGTGAGTGATGGAAGAAGGGGCGCTTTGCCGTCGGTATGCCAAGTCCCCGTGGTGATGCGAACTTCAAGCTTCCTCTCATGCCGGGCGGCCACCTCGGTCCACGCCTCCACGGTTCGCTCCCACGGCTTGAAATCGAAGGTGTTTAACCAAGTCAACTTGGCCTTGGCACCATCCTCAATCTTGTATTCGAGCTCGTGCTTGCCTGCCCACATGAGAGGCCGTTGCTTGATGGTCATGTGCTTCAACTGAGGCATCGTGTAGGCCATCCGGGCGGCGGCGAGGGATACGTTTTGGCGGAAGTCTACTAGCTCTGAGGATTCATTGATATCGTCGCTCTGCTTGTGCCACTCGGTGTTGTACCAGATGGATCCATAAGAGATGTAGAGAGTCTTGAGCAGCCAAAACTCTGGGTGATACGGGCGGTTCGCCAGGAACGGCTCGGTGTCTTCCGTGCCCATGGGCCAGTGAGGACGTAAGAACTCCCTAATACGGACGACGTTGGTGATGTTGAGCTCCTTAAGATGCT